AAAAGCTACACACTATATGATTCCAACCATATGACATTTTGAAATAGGCAAAACTATGGTGACAGTAAAAGATCAGTGGTTGCCAGGGATTAGAGTGGGAAAAGCGATGAATTCATGAAACACAGAGGATTTTTAGGGCAGTGAAAGTACAGAGTACTTTCTGTGTAGATACAGATAGATACATATCATTATACACTTTCCAAACCCATAAAATGCACAACACCAAGAATGAACCATATAGTAAACTGTGGACTTTGGGTGATAATGACGTGTTAAAATAGCTTCACCAATGATAACAAATGTACTACTTTGATAATGGGAGAGGCTATGTATGTGCAGGGCAAGGCATATATGGGAAATCTCTATACTTTCCACTCAGTTTTGCTATGTGCCTAAAACTGCTCTATAAAATAACATCTATTTTAAAATAATATCTTAAAATATATATAATAAGTATTTACAGGCTGCATGCATTAAAATGGTCAAGAAACAATGGCTAACCAAGTGGCAATGAGCACTTCTAGTACCCTGATTGAACCCTCTAAAATCATTTCCCACTAAAAGGAACCAGGCTTCCTTGGAAAAATGGCTGATTCCAGGTCTGCGGTAGGAGTTGTATCAGATGAATTATGCCAAACTATATTACCAGAAAGCATGTTAAATAAGCCTCAGAAGCCAGTGGTATCTGGGTGGCTCAGTCAGTTAAGTGTCTAACTCTTAATTTTGGCTCAGGTCATGATCTCACAGTCATGAGATTAAGCTGTAAGATTGGAGCTGTATGCTGAGCATGGAGCCTGCTTGAGATTCTCTCTCTCCCTCTGTGCCTTTCCCCCACTCGTGCACTCTCTCTCTCTCTCAAAAATAAAAAAAAAAGAAAAAAAAGAAAAGAAAGGAAAAGACTCAAAAGTCAATCTGAAGGAACCTCCACTGGCCAAACATAGAACATTTTGAAGATCAAAATGATTCATGACCATAATGGATTAAAACATATCAAATATAAAGATCTATGAGTTCATGTTGACACTGTAACCAAAATGCAAAACAAAATAAAATGAACTCACTGCTCACCTTTGGAGGATTCTAGTGAAACAAATCATTATTTTGAAAAGTGGAAATAGGTGCGCCTGGGTGGCTCAGTCAGTTGAGCATCTGACTTTGGCTCAGGTCATGTTCTCACTGTCCCTGAGTTCGAGCCTCACATCGGGCTCTGTGCTGACAGCTCAGAGCCTGGAGCTTGCTTTGTATTCTGTGTCTCCCTCTCTCTCTTCCCCTGCCCCATTCATACTCTGTCTCTCTCTCTGTGTCAAAAATAAATAAACATTAAAAATAATAAAAAAAAAAGAAAAGTGGAAATACTGCAAAAGAATTACACATTCATCCTTCTCTTCATGTGCAAACCAAGCTCAGCACAACCTAAAGGTTAATTAGGTTAGGGTTTTTTTTCAATAAAAAAAATTTAGCTAATGAATGCAGAAGAAATCAGAATTAGAACACTATTTTGTAGTCTTTAATGAAATGCAGACCCAGACAACAATCTTCAAAAATTGTATAAACCATAAGGTGAAAAGCACATGGGTAATTTTATACTTAATGGATTAGGTTAAGAATACTCAAATTAAGTGATCAATCTTAGTGTCACAACAGGAGACAACTAGACAAAATCAGCTTCATGGTGTAATACTATAGAACTAAACAACACCACATCTAAGGTACTCTTGCAAAAAACCTGAATCTTAACAAGCCTCTAAACCTAATTATCAACTTAAAGTCAATAGAAAGGGGGCACCTAGATGGCTTAGTCGGTTAGGCATCCAACTCTTGATTTTGGCTTGGGTCATAATCTCAGGGTCGTGAGATTGAGCCCAACATTGAATTATGAGCTGGGTGTGGAGTCTGTTTTAGATTCTCTCTCTCCCTCTCCTTCTGCCCCTCTGCTGCTTGTGCTCTCTAAAAAAATAATAAATAAATAAACAAATAAGTAAGTAAGTAAATAAAGGCATAAATAAATAAAGGCAATGGGAGGAACCGGAGGAATATAACAAATAACACAATAAGGATATAATTAGCAAAACCCAAAATTTAAACTCCACAGGACAAATGATCCAGTTTTTTCAGCAAATAAATTAGAAGGTTAAGAAAATGGACCTTCTTTAGATTAAAAAAAAATTAAATATTTTAGAGACAGTTAAAGAAAAATTAAAACAGAGAAATTAAAGTTAAAATCAAAATGACATAACACTACATGCCCACCAGAATAACAAAATGAAAAAGGTGGAATATACCAAGTATTGTCGAAAATTTGGAAAAAGTGGAACTCTCACATACTGCTGGTAGGAACATAGACTGGAACAACCACTTGAAAAACTGCTTGGCACTGTCTGATGTACTCAACATATGCATACTCTATGACTTAGAAGTGCCACTCTTTGGTATATGTCCAAGAGAAATGAAAATATATATCCATCAAAAAATATGTAGAAGAACATTAATAGTACCATTACTCAAAATAAGTCAAAAATGTAAAAATACATAAATTCCCAAAACAGATACATATATTGTAAAATACCCACATAATGTACTACTTGCTATACAACCAATGAAAATTAAAAATCTAAAACTATGGACAATGATAATGTAAATATACTTTATGTTGACTGAAAGAAGCCAGACACAGAAAAGTACATGCTGCATGTATGATTCCAGGAATTTTTCTTCTAACCTCCCAATAGAGATTAGGGAAGGAGAGGATAATCAATACTCTATTTCTTTTTATTTGAAGAGACTCAGTGTCTTTGTATATTACTTGCAGGTTAACTTTAAAGAGAACATATCCTGTGAGCTCTTAAAGTGATTCACTACGTATAAGAACAAGGCTAGTGCTATATTTGATGTACAGAAAACTGAGTACCAGTCAAGAGACATACTTGGATCCATAGGCGAACCTAACCCACTAACTCTAGGTGACCCTGGGTGAAATACCACACCTCCTCTGGCCTCACCTATCAAGAGTGGTCACATCAGCCCTGCCTCCCATCCAACAAAGCCTAGAACACAGAGCAATGTGATTCCCATCTGAAAAGCACTTTGGGTTCATAAGAGGGAAAAAAAATTACCATGAAAGTCCAAGGAATTATTTTAACAGAATTTGTCTAATTCATAGTAATTTTCATGATTATTCTCTTTTTTATAATTATCACCTTTGATGAAGATTCTCTCCTGGACAAAACTCTAGGCATACTCCTCTTAGCACTCTTCTTGACTACACCTCAACCCTGGACAATTAAGTCTTGATCTAAACACTACCATAGTTTCTAACAGCTGAAGGCTGCATCTCTAAGATGAGCCTAAACCCCTTTAAAGTGATCGCCTGAGAAAACGCAAGGCTTCCAGAACAATTTACTGTTTGTTACAGCTAGCACCTGAAGATACGGCCCCTGCCTCCAGCCTCTGTGGGAGAATAGAAATCTAACTTGAATAAAGGCCAGTTAACAAACTCAGATGGGTTTCACCTGGATGAAACCTACTTCATTATTTTTGTAATTTTTCACTTCCTTGAATCTACTTAACTCCTACTCACTCCTCTCCCTATTCCCTCATGTTCCCTTTAAACTTCTCAGTCACCTCTAGACAAATTGAAGTTGAGATGAGTTCATACTGGACTCTTCCCTGTCGCAAAAGTATATTGCTGATTAAAATCTGTCCTTACCACTTTAACCAGGGTCTAGCTTTGTTCATCTTTGACACATTTTTTTTTGTCTATAATTACTACCTTTTCGTTTTTCTTAAATAAATACCATTTGGTACACTGCAAACGCCTACTGAAACATAGTTTCCACCCAAAGAGATACAGATGGTCCTGACCTAACATCACCCATAGTAGGCTGACATAGTGCAACAAATGTCTTTTTCTTCCTACCTAAGGGTACTGGTTAGGAATGTGGCTTCTGGAGACAGACCAGGTCCAAATCCTAGTTCTGTATGAGTCTGAATTCTTTTTCTTCACCTTACAGTCACTCGATTGCCTCATGTAGAAAACTGGGGTTGTGCGTTACTATAGAAGACACAGCAGTTTTAAATAAACATTGCTTTGAATTTTGGTCTTTACAAGAATAAATAGTCCACAATCCTATTATTTAAAAAATTCTGCAAAGACTTTGGGATACCTAGCTCTCTGTGATCTTTGGAGATTAAAAAACCTGTGCCTCAGTTTCCTCTTCTGTAAAATGGAAAATACAATCACCCCTATGTCATGGGTTATTGTTTTGAGGATTGAGTTAATACACTATTAGAACACTGCTGGGTGCACAGTAACAGCTCAAAAATGCTAGCTACTTTAAATACTTACAATATGATATTTATATAGTTTTATAGTCTGCATGTGTGTTTAATAAAGTGTAATAGTTTTACAACTAAATCCTATTCATTAAATGATCCATTTTGTAAATCGCTTTTACCATAACCACTTTTGCTTACCTAATTATCATGAGAATGTCTCAAAAGTGCATGGAACAACCGATCTCAGGAAACACCACCACCGTGTCTGCACTTGGCTGAACAAAAGCCAAGTGCTCATCCTTCATTCAGACTTATCATCATGTACCCCCACGCACAGCCACCTCAGGCCCCACCTGTCCTATCACCAACACATCCTGTCCAAGGCTATCCCTTGTCACTTGCACACTGTGGCAGTACTGGGTCAATCCACCCTCATCCCTCCCCTGGACTTCTGCAAGACTACATTTGGAGAAATCCTGACCTAAGCATCTGATGTTTGTGTACCATTAATTTTATGTCTCCCATTCAGAGTTCAATGATATCTGTGGTGTCTCTGTTAATGTAATTACTCAAAAGCACACTGGTCCTTCCCTCACACATATGACCACAGATTGCTTTCCCACATGGGATCACACTTAAATTTCATAATACTCCCAGGTGGTTGGGAGAATTGGGTACTGTTATCCTGTTGTATAGACAAGGCTGGTGGAAGCATAGTGACTTACCTAAAGTGTCCCAATGATGGGACCCTGATCTCTTCATTCTTGCTCTAGGAACCAGTCTAGCACACTCTACATCACACTTTGTTCTTCTCTATCGGTTCCTGTTTTCAGGGCTCAGAATTCACATGCCTGTCTGTTGTTCCACTAGAAAGGAAGAGTCAGGGGTTCAGACATCACATGGAATAGAACAGAAAGTGAAAGGAAGGGAAAACACATGAAACACAACAGCAGTTAGTGAGCTTGTGCTTGCCTGTCCCCACCCAGTTCACAGGAAGCTATGCAATGACGCTGTGCCTCTTCTCTACCTCCATCCCACAGCCTCCTTACACACACAGCAGTGACACTGAAGCTCTCACATCATGTGAATGGGGGCTCATCACTGCTTGCTGCTCCATGTCCAAATATTCTCTCTGGTAGTCCTGCTATCATGTTCATGTCAGAGGTAACATATTGACAGAGTGAAGAAGGCAAAATTGGAATGGAGAATTAGCACCCACTGAGAGCCTACTAGATGCCACACACCGGAGGTTGTTATTTTCAGACTTTTTCTCTTCAATTCCTCAAAATGATTATCTGAGGTGATTTCCCTTCTATAGATTAGAAGATAGCCTCAGGAGACAAAGTAAATGTTGAAAGAATTCTAAGCAGTTGTCAAATAGACATAGAAGTCAACTTGAAGGGGCTTCCATTGGCCAATTCTGAGACATTTAAGCATAAAAATAAATAACTGTAGTACCAAATGGTAACTCTTTCTGCAAAATAGAAATCTATTATTCATAGTGATGTAAATTTTAAAAACATATAAAACAGGGAGAAGAGAAATCTCTACTTTCAGTCAAATTTCAATGGATAATGCAGGAAGGAATGAGGAAATCAGAAAAGCAACACTTGACAACCATGTTACTAATAAGCAATTTGGGCTAGAATTATAAAACAATGCTCCATCTGCACCAAATCTCACAGCAGTCACAGAGTCACCATGGTAACCATGCTGGCCAACTAAAGCTGGAGAAAAAACAACCACTGTGATTTACTTCCTATTATATGCTAGGAAGTGAACAGGACTGACACAACCACAGTAAAGTAATTAACCTGAAGTATTCTTCACAATAAAGATTCCTGGCAGCTTCAGCAACATACACATACATACAAACATACATACTCATATATGTACATGCTCTCTCCTTCCCCTATCTCACCATTCAAGTACCCAGAATTCATCAATTCAAGGGACAAAAAAGAAAAACCCCACAATTTAACTGGTTCAATTCTAACCACACATAACTACTTCATTTTAGTGACTGATTTTTCTGGAGATGACCTGTAGAGTTGTCTCTGTGACATTTTTCTCCCTAGTTTCAGTACATTGCCAATGATGTCAAAAAGCTGATACAGAAACAGTCAAATGCATGTTATCCATCAGGTAACTTTTTCATCCTAGAGTGGTCTGTGCTTTCAACCAAAAAGATCCTGTAACAGTTATTATTAAATATTTGGCTGCTGACAGCTTAGTGAAAATAAAATAATTGGGAATAGTATTTATAAAACAATGTATTTTACAATAACATCAAAAAGTATGAAATAGTTATGGATCATCTGTCCACATATGTGCAAAGCTTGTTCACTGAACACTACAAAATATTGCTTAGAAAAATTAAAGACCTAAATGAATGGAGAGACAACTATCTTCACAGGTTGGAAGATTCAGTATTATTTCAATGTTACTTCTCCTTAAATACATCCATATATTCAATGCAATCCAAATAAAAATACTAGCAAATATTTTTAAAGAAATTGGCAGGCCAATTCTGAAGTTTATATGGAAATTCAGAGGATCTAGACCATGAAAAACAACTGAAAAAGAATCAAGTTGGAGGATGAACACTCTCAGATTTTAAGACTCATTTAAAACATATAGTAATCAAGCAGTATGGTATTAGAATCAAGGTAGACAAGTAGATTGAAGAAAAAGATTAAAGAGTCCAGAAACAGACCCACACATATATGGACAACTGATTTTTGAAAAGTGGGCAAAAACAATTTAGTGAAGAAATGGGAGTCTTATCAACAAATGGTACTAGGACAAGTGCATATCATATACACAAATATAAATTGTTACCCATGTATCACACTATATACAAAAGTCCACTCAAAATGGATCACAGACTTAAGTATATAACCTAAAGCTATCAATCTTTTAGAAGAAACATAGGAAAAAGTCCTTGTGACCTTGGATTAGGTGAAAATTTCATACAGGAGATACCAAAACTATAATCTGTAAGTGAAGTAATATATAAATTGGACTTCCTCCAAGTCAAAAACTGCTCTTCCTAAGACACTGTTAAAATAATTAAAAAACAAGGCGCTTATTGGCAGAATATACATGCAAATTACACATCTGACAAAGGACCTGTATCTAGAATATAGAAAATCTATAAAGTCAATTAGAAAAAAAAAACGACACTACAATAAAAAAATGGAGGAAAATTTTGAATAGACACTTCATCAAAGATGTAGAAATGGCAAAAAAAAAAAAAACACACATGAAAATATGCTCAACATCATTAGGGAATTGTAAATTAAAACTCTAATTTCATACCACTACATCCCCATGAGAATGGCTATAATTAAAAAGATTGACCATACCATTCATTAGCAGGGTTGTAGAGGACACTCCCATACACTGCTGGTGACAAGGGAAAAATGGTACAACCAGTTTGGTAGTTTCTTAACAATGTTAGTCTTACATCTACTACATGATCCAGCCATTGCATTCTTAAGTATATACTCTGGGGAAATACTAGAGAAAGAAACCATATTTCCATGCAAAAAGTTATACACAAATGTTCATTGGAGGTTTAATTAAAAAAAAACAAATTTCAAACAAATTGTAACATATCCATATACTGGGATGCTACTCATCAATTAAAAAAGTATAAACTATTTAGTCGCCTGGGTGGCTCAGTCAGTTAAGAGCCTGACTTCAGCTCAGGTCATGATCTCATGGTTCATGAGTTTGAGCCTCCCATCCCAATCCCTCCTTGGGATTCTTTCTCTCTGCCCCTCCCCACCACCTCAAAATAAATAAAGTTAAAAAAAGAGAATGAATTATTGATACATGCAAAAAAAAAAGGTAAATCTAAATAAATAGGCTCAGTGAACGAAGCCAGACCAAAACCAAAAAAGCAAAAAAACCCTTTATGATTCCATTTAAATAAAATTCTAGGACATGAAAATTAATCTACAGTGAGAGAAGATAAGTGCTTGCTTGGATACATAGTGGGCAGGGGGTGGGGTGGAGGCCAGGTAACAAAGAACTGAAACTGTTATATACTGGGAAAGTAAACATAACTATATTTAAGAGTACCTGGTTATTATAGGATATAAGGCTCAGTATAATAAGTATATAATAATAAAACACAGAAGTATTTTTTAAAATATAAATTCTTATAACTGACATGTTTAATATTTGTAAAATTTCTGGTTTCCTAAAATGTTTCATTATAAAATGGATAAAAACACAGCAGCCAGGGAACTATATTACATTCTCAAATTACTAGGAATACTTTAACCAAATGCATTTTTCAACACACATCTGTGAGAAATATGAGAATCACTGAATAATATTTACCCAGGGAGAACAACTTAGGTAAATTTATTCCAAATGCATGTTAAAGATCACATTCCTTCCTCAAGCTGGATAATTCAGTGCTTTCAGACAAAACACTTCCCTAAAATGAGCCTCAGGGGCTACTACAAACCATATAGCTACTGAAGGAATGACATTCCACCTGCTAAACCTCTTCTCTCAAGATGAGATCAACGCAGCTTGTCTACTTTTAGGCTAGTTTGTGAACTTCATAGGAGCTATTCTAAAACATGCTTTTGTTCATATCAATAAAGTCATTGATCCAGGCCTCATATTCCACCAGGAATGCAAGGTTTTGGGCTCTCCTGAGGACTGCTGCCCTTGAACCTGGAGTAGAAACTTCAGTAGCCATCAGGACTCAGATCCTCAAAACCTGCCTTCTTCAGGCACCTGATATGAGCTGGGCCGCTGATATGAAGAGCTCCACAGGAAAAGACAGATCCAGCTATCACAATCCCTTACTGGTGTGACTATGTGGCCAGTACCAAGCCAGGCACTAGGTTACTGACAATGACATACAACCAGGTCGTGGTCATAGCAACCACATGTTTTAATGGGCTTCTCACCAGAGCCTTTTTTCTCCTCTTTATCTCCTAACAACAAAATTGGAAAGGGATAAGAAATGGCCTGAATTCATGCAGGCATTTATGACCCCACAATAACCACAGGGCTATGGGTTTGCTCAGTCCAATTGCTGACTGTTCTCAGCGATCCTGAGTGAAGCATTCTCATATCCACTGTACAGAGGGGGGAAGCTGGTGCACAGAGAGGTTAAGTTACCTGTCTTAACCTCCCGCATCCTTGTCTTTAGAGGAAAGCAGCTCCAGGACACCCCAGCAGGAACACTTACACTCACTGGAGCTGGGAGGGACCACAATGGCTTTACATACAAGACAGCCGGGGCACTGAGCCCCAAATCGGGAAAAGCTGGATCTGGATTCTTCTGTCTCCTCACACTCCAAGGCGGTTCAGCCCCCTCAGCGGGACCCCACACTCTCAGCTGAGTCCCAAACTTCTGAGGTCGAGACCTGCTCTCCAAACCAGGGCTTATTAAAAATTCGTCACGGTCGCCCTATGACGTCAGGTTTCTATGGCAACTGCGAAGCATAGGCTTTTTTAGTCCATACTAGAAATGCTTCTGCAAGACTCACGCACCCCTTGGAATCTCGCTGAACGCAAAATACCTTTGCTCTTCAGGCCACCACAGGAGAAATCATAGTAATTAGAGGCTCTAGACTGAAACTAGGACAGTTGTCGGAACTTGGCCTAGGTTGATGGAACAAAGAATTCCCCTGCTGTGAGGATTTTTGTTTGCTTTAAAGAGACAGTAGGGGAGTATTATCAGTACATTCAGCCCCAGGGAAGTGTCCTAGCGTTCTTGAAGATGAGCTAGCACTGAGAGGGTGGGCACGTAAAATTCCACACCATGCTAAGCAGTTAACCATCTGTAGTGGAAAACTAAAAGATCATCTATAATCATGTGACTGAATGATCTAGATACATACACGAAATGTCATTTCAGCAATTTGAAATTATTTCAAGGAAGCAGGCCTAGAATATTATAGTAATTTAGTAGGCAGAAACTTAGTCAGTTGAACAGTACATTTATTTGTACTTGAGGATTCTGATCATTCATTCCTGATAATTTCTTCCATATGGAGCGGCATCGATACTTAACCAAAATACTTCTATCTTCTGTATATACCAGGCCTTGTCCCTTCAAACCTTTGGTGGTAAATTGCTCTTATGAAGCAAATTTTCTGCTCTTCCCTCAGGAGTGGGTCCTACAATTATCCCACAGCTCTTCTCCCCTTTCTGTGACTTGCTAGCTCTCAGCTATTTCTATGGTCTTGATCCAAAATGCTTGAGCTTTTAAGCCCCCACCCACCCACCATACATCCCTGCTCCACATCTGAGCTGTAAAACAACTAAAAATATGAAAAAAAATAATGAGGAGAACAATATATCAACTTTCTTATAAAAGTTGTATTAGAGAAAGGGCTTAGAATCTGCAGGAAAGACCTTTACTATTAATAAACCCCAGAGTTGGACACAGTTATCCACTCAGCAGTGCTGCATTGACACAATAGCAAAGGCCAAGGGCTGTAATGCTTATCTATCTGCTGTCTTGTCAAAGATCCCTGTCCACATGTATCCAAAAGAAGTTCCCTTTCAATAGACATTTTTATCTCTCAGGATTCTGTGGGTTAACTGGGCTCCACTGGGTATCTTTCTGCTCTATTTGGTATCTCCCACCTGGGGCTGCAGTCATCTGGAAGCTCCACTTAGCTGGAACATCCAAGAGAGCTCGCTCAACATGGATGATGATCCATGTGGCATCTGCTGGGGGGTTGGCTGAGGCTATTGACTGGAGCATCTTGGTTCTACCCCACAGAGCCCCCCATATGTAACATTGCCAAACTAAATTTAACTCATATATATTTGAATTTCAGATAAACAGCAAAAACTTTCTAGTGTAAATACATCTTATGCAATATTATTTTGTTTGTCTGAAATTCAAATTCAACTGGGCATCCTGTATGTTTATTTACTAAATCTGACAACTCTAGGGGACAAGCCTGTGAATCTGTAAGTTTAACAACCATCTGAGAAGACTCTTCCAATGGTGAAAGTCTGGGGAACACAAATAGATTGAAAATAGAGATAAGATCATAATACCTGGTATTGAGGAATGAAAGGGCAACAGATATTCACATATACCGTTGGTGTTAAATAGGGTATCTGTTTTCTGAGACCTGTATTATTATAACTTAATCATTTGAATGGCCTTTGATAGGGGAGAGAGGGAAGATGGCGGCGTAGGAGGACGCTGGGCTCACCGTGCATCCTGCTGATCACTTAGATTCCACCTACACCTGCCTAAATAACCCAGAAAACCGCCAGAGGAATAGCAGAACAGAGTCGCCGGAGCCAAGCGCAGACGAGAGGCCCACGGAAGAGGGTAGGAAGGGCGGCCAGGCGGTGTGTGCTCCACGGACTGGCAGGAAGGAGCCGGGGTGGAGGGGCGGCTCGCCAGCCAGGCAGAGCCCCCGAGTCTGGCTTGCAAAAAGCGGAGGGGCCTGACGGACTGTGTTCCGACAGCAAGCGCGACTTAGCGGCTGGAAGGTCATAAATTAACAGCTCTGCTCAGAAAGCGGGAAGGCTGGAGGACAAAGGGAAGGAGAGCTGCTGAGCCCCCGGACGACAGAGCTCAGTTTGGTGGGGAACAAAGGCGCTCGCCAGCGCCATCTCCCCCACCCATCCCCCAGCCAAAATCCCAAAGAGAACCAGTTCCTGCCAGGGAACTTGCTCCCTCTGCGCAAACACCCAACTCTGCGCTTCTGCGGAGCCAAACCTCCGGCAGCGGATCTGACTCCCTCCTGCTGCCACAGGGCCCCTCCTGAAGTGGATCACCTAAGGAGAAGCAAGCTAAGCCTGCCCCTCCTGCCCCTGTGCACATTGCCTACCCACCCCAGCTAAGACGCCAGATCCCCAGCATCACAAGCCTGGCAGTGTGCAAGTAGCCCAGACAGGCCACCCCACCCCACAGTGAATCCCGCCCCTAGGAGAGGGGAAGAGAAGGCACGCACCAGTCTGACTGTGGCCCCAGCGGTGGGCTGGGGGCAGACATCAGGTCTGACTGTGGCTCCGCCCACCAACTCCAGCTATACACCACAGCACAGGGAAAGTGCCCTGCAGGTCCTCACCACTCCAGGGACTATCCAAAATGACCAAGCGGAAGAATTCCCCTCAGAAGAATCTCCAGGAAATAACAACAGCTAATGATCTGATCAAAAAGGATTTAAATAATATAACAGAAAGTGAATTTAGAATAATAGTCATAAAATTAATCGCTGGGCTTGAAAACAGTATAGCTGACAGCAGACAATCTCTTGTTACAGAGATCAAGGGACTAAGGAACAGTCACGAGGAGCTGAAAAACGCTTTAAACGAAATGCATAACAAAATGGAAACCACCACGGCTCAGATTGAAGAGGCAGAGGAGAGAATAGGTGAACTAGAAGACAAAGTGATGGAAAAAGAGGAAGCTGAGAAAAAGAGAGAGAAAAAAATCCAGGAGTATGAGGGGAAAATTAGAGAACTAAGTGATACACTAAAAAGAAATAATCTACGCATAATTGGTATCCCAGAGGAGGAAGAGAGAGGGAAAGGTGCTGAAGGGGTACTTGAAGAAATAATAGCTGAGAACTTCCCTGAAGTGGGGAAGGAAAAAGGCATTGAAATCCAAGAGGCACAGAGAACTCCCTTCAGACGTAACTTGAATCGATCTTCTCCACGACATATCATAGTGAAACTGGCAAAATACAAGGATAAAGAGAAAATTCTGAAAGCAGCAAGGGGTAAACGTACCCTCACATATAAAGGGAGACCTATAAGACTCGTGACTGATCTCTCTTTTGAAACTTGGCAGGCCAGAAAGAGTTGGCACGAGATTTTCAGTGTGTTAGACAGAAAAAATATGCAGCCGAGAATCCTTTATCCAGCAAGCCTGTCATTTAGAATAGAAGGAGAGATAAAGGTCTTCCCAAACAAACAAAAACTGAAGGAATTTGTCACCACTAAACCAGCCCTACAAGAGATCCTAAGCAGACCCTGTGAAACAAAGTACCAGAGATATCACTACAAGCATAAAACATACAGACATCACAATGACTCTAAACCCATATCTTTCTATAATAACACTGAATGTAAATGGATTAAATGCGCCAACCAAAAGACAGAGGGTATCAGAATGGATAAAAAAACAAGACCCATCTATTTGCTGTCTACAAGAGACTCATTTTAGACCTGAGGACACCTTTAGATTGAGAGTGAGGGGATGGAGAACTATTTATCATGCTACTGGAAGCCAAAAGAAAGCTGGAGTAGCCATACTTATATCAGACAAACTAGACTTTAAATTAAAGGCTGTAACAAGAGATGAAGAAGGACATTATATAATAGTGACAGGGTCTATCCATCAGGAAGAGCTAACAATTATAAATGTCTATGCGCCGAATACCGGAGTGCCCAAATATATAAAACAATTACTCATAAACATAAGCAACCTTATTGATAAGAATGTGGTAATTGCAGGGGACTTTAATACCCCACTTACAGAAATGGATAGATCATTTAGACACACGGTCAATAAAGAAACAAGGGCCCTGAATGAGACATTGGATCAGATGGACTTGACAGATATATTTAGAACTCTGCATCCCAAAGCAACAGAATAGACTTTCGTCTCGAGTGCACATGGAAAATTCTCCAAGATAGATCATATACTGGGTCACAAAACAGCCCTTCATAAGTTCACAAGAATTGAAATCATACCATGCATACTTTCAGACCACAATGCTATGAAGCTTGAAATCAACCACAGAAAAAAGTCTGGAAAACCTCCAAAAGCATGGAGGTTAAAGAACACCCTACTAACGAATGAGTGGGTCAACCAGGCAATTAGAGAAGAAATTAAAAAATATATGGAAACAAACGAAAATGAAAAGACAACAATCCAAATGCTTTGGGACGCAGCCAAGGCAGTCCTGAGAGGAAAATACATTGCAATCCAGGCCTATCTCAAGAAACAAGAAAAATCCCAAATACAAAATCTAACAGCACACCTAAAGGAAATAGAAGCAGAACAGCAAAGGCAGCCTAAACCCAGCAGAAGAAGAGAAATAATAAATATCAGAGCAGAAATAAACAATATAGAATCTAAAAAAACTGTAGAGCAGATCAACGAAACCAAGAGTTGGTTTTTTGAAAAAATAAACAAAATTGAGAACCTCTAGCCAGGCTTCTCAAAAAGAAAAGGGAGATGACCCAAATAGATAAAATCATGAATGAAAATGGAATTATTACAACCAATCCCTCAGAGATACAAACAATTATCAGGGAATACTATGAAAAATTATATGCCAACAAATTGGACAACCTGGAAGAAATGGACAAATTCCTGAACGCCCACACTCTTCCAAAACTCAATCAGGATGAAATAGAAAGCTTGAACAGACCCATAACCAGCGAAGAAATTGAATCAGTTATCAAAAATCTCCCAACAAATAAGAGTCCAGGACCAGATGGCTTCCCAGGGGAGTTCTACCAGACATTTAAAGCAGAGATAATACCTATCCTTCTCAAGCTATTCCAAGAAATAGAAAGGGAAGGAAAACTTCCAGACTCATTCTATGAAGCCAGGATTCCTTTGATTCCTAAACCAGACAGAGACCCAGTAAAAAAAGAGAACTACAGGCCAATCTCCCTGATGAATATGGATGCCAAAATTCTCAATAAGATACTAGCAAATCGAATTCAACGGCATATAAAAAGAATTATTCACCATGATCAAGTGGGATTCACTCCTGGGATGCAGGACTGGTTCAACATTCGCAAATCAATCAACGTGATACATCACATTAACAAAAAAAAAGAGAAATGATCCTGTCAATCGATGCAGAAAAGGCCTTTGACAAAATCCAGCACCCTTTCTTAATAAAAACCCTTGAGAAAGTCGGGATAGAAGGAACATACTTAAAGATCATAAAAGCCATTTATGAAAAGCCCACAGCCAACATCATCCTCAACGGGGAAAAACTGAAAGCTTTTTCCCTGAGAACAGGAACACGACAGGGATGCCCACTCTCACCACTGTTGTTTAACATAGTGCTGGAAGGTCTAGCATCAGCAATGAGACAACAAAAGGAAATCAAAGGCATCAAAATTGGCAAAGATGAAGTCAAGCTTTTGCTTTTTGCAGATGACATGATATTATACATGGAAAATCCGATAGACTCCACCAAAAGTCTGCTAGAACTGATACATGAATTCAGCAAAGTTGCAGGATACAAAATCAATGTACAGAAATCAGTTGCATTCTTATACACTAACAATGAAGCAACAGAAAGACAGATAAAGAAACTGATCCCATTCACCATTGCACCAAGAAGCATAAAATACCTAGGAATAAATCTAACCAAAGATGTAAAGGATCTGTATGCTGAAAACTATAGAAAGCTTATGAAGGTAATTGAAGAAGATTTAAAGAAATGGAAAGACATTCCCTGCTCATGGATTGGAAGAATAAATATTGTCAAAATGTCAATACTACCCAAAGCTATCTACACATTCAATGCAATCCCAATCAAAATTGCACCAGCATTCTTCTCGAAACTAGAACAAGCAATCCTAAAATTCATATGGAACCACAAAAGGCCCCGAATAGCCAAAGTAATTTTGAAGAAGAAGACCAAAGCAGGAGGCATCACAATCCCAGACTTTAGCCTCTACTACAAAGCTGTCATCATCAAGACAGCATGGTATTGGCACAAAAACAGACACATAGACCAATGGAATAGAATAGAAACCCCAGAACTAGACCCACAAACGTATGGCCAACTCATCTTTGACAAAGCAGGAAAGAACATCCAATGGAAAAAAGACAGTCTCTTTAACAAATGGTGCTGGGAGAACTGGACAGCAACATGCAGAAGGTTGAAACTAGACCACTTTCTCACACCATTCACAAAAATAAACTCAAAATGGATAAAGGACCTGAATGTGAGACAGGAAACCATCAAAACCCTAGAGGAGAAAGCAGGAAAAGACCTCTCTGACCTCAGCCGTAGCAATCTCTTACTCGACACATCCCCAAAGGCAAGGGAATTAAAAGCAAAAGTGAATTACTGGGACCTTATGAAGATCAAAAGCTTCTGCACAGCAAAGGAAACAACCAACAAAACTAAAAGGCAACCAACGGAATGGGAAAAGATATTTGCAAATGACATATCGGACAAAGGGCTAGTATCCAAAATCTATAAAGAGCTCACCAAACTCCACACCCGAAAAGCAAATAACCCAGTGAAGAAATGGGCAGAAAACATGAATAGACACTTCTCTAAAGAAGACATCCGGATGGCCAACAGGCACATGAAAAGATGTTCAGCGTCGCTCCTTATCAGGGAAATACAAATCAAAACCACACTCAGGTATCACCTCACGCCAGTCAGAGTGGCCAAAATGAACAAATCAGGAGACTATAGATGCTGGCGAGGATGTGGAGAAACGGGAACCCTCTTGCACTGTTGGTGGGAATGCAAATTGGTGCAGCCGCTCTGGAAAGCAGTGTGGAGGTTCCTCAGAAAATTAAAAATAGACCTACCCTATGACCCAGCAATAGCACTGCTAGGAATTTATCCAAGAGACACAGGAGTACTGATGCATAGGGGCACTTGTACCCCAATGTTCATAGCAGCACTCTCAACAATAGCCAAATTATGGAAAGAGCCTAAATGTCCATCAACTGATGAATGGATAAAGAAATTGTGGTTTATATACACAATAGAATACTACGTGGCAATGAGAAAAAATGAAATATGGCCTTTTGTAGCAACGTGGATGGAACTGGAGAGTGTGATGCTAAGTGAAATAAGCCATATAGAGAAAGACAGATACCTTATGGTTTCACTCTTATGTGGATCCTGAGAAACTTAACAGGAACCCATGGGGGAGGGGAAGGAAAAAAAAAAAAGAGGTTAGAGTGGGAGAGAGCCAAAGCATAAGATACTGTTGAGAACTGAGAACAAACTAAGGGTTGATGGGGGGTGGGAGGGAGGAGAGGGTGGGTGATGGGTATTGAGGAGGGCACCTTTTGGGATGAGCACTGGGTGTTGTGTGGAAACCAATTTGACAATAAATTTCATATATAAATAAAAAAAAATAAAGAAAAAAAAATAAAATTGAAAAAAAAAATGAATGGCCTTTGATAGAAGCCCTATTTCCACCAACAAGGAAATTTCAGGTGAGGGTTTAGAAAAGGATCCCGAAGTTGATTCTGACCTGCATTCAGGTTAACATGGATATATCCATGCATATATGCATGGATATATGCTAAGGGAGCAATTCAAGGAGCTGTATGAGTTTCCTGCTCTGGGGAGGAAAGACAGCTATAATTTATGGATCAGATGGTTGAGCTGAGCCCAAGTCCAATGTTCTTCACTTAGTGGCTGGATTTAATCCTCATGACAACCCTGGTAGTGAGGTATCACTATCCTCTCTCCATGAATATATATTAGTACAAAGCACGTGCTCCTGAACACAGACACAGACAGAAAAGAGGTTTCTCCCCACACCCACTGGCAGAGCCAGGGATGGACCTGGGCATTCTGGGAACCTTTAGTTGCTGGTGGCAGAGCTTTAGCAAAGGAATCAGGACACATACTGCTGAGGTGATTAATCACTGTTCTTTTTTACCCTCCCTGCACCAGGGAGACAGGCTTGGTGCTTCGTCCTCTTACCTCAGGGGAGGTTTGTGCCAGGGTGGGAAGTAAAAGATGTCTGAAGCCCATGTTTCTTCCATGCTTTGTGAAAAGTTAAACTTGTGGAAAGGATTGGGCTTCTTGTACCTAGTAGGGAGAGGAGGGCATCTGAGGACCCAAGGGTAAGAGGATGGAAGATTTTACTTAGGGGTTAGATCAGAGGTCAATACATTATTCCAGGAGGAACCAGAGTGCTGTTCCATATCAATGCTTGAGATGGCTCCATGGATGGTCCATCAAGGCTGCATCCAGCTATAAGACAGATTTTCCTGTTTCAATTGAAGGCTGGATGGCACAGGGTCTGGACGACTGAAGATACAGAACCAGCTAGGGCAATGCACAGCTCAGCCCTGAGCAGTGTGGATAGATGAATAATGATGTAGGGGCCTCACCAACTGCATCAGGAGGATAGATAGCATAAGTGAGACTCTTTTGTCAAAGAGCATGAGCATCTAATATTTTTTAGTACTATCTGGCTTAACTTTGAAATTTCTTTACTAATGTGTATCTCAACCCACAACAAGATGAGAACACTCATCTTTCCAGATCTGTGCAAACAATGAGTTTCATGGCATTTTTAATATTTGCTAATCGGATACCTTGTTAGAATGTTGATGACACTTTTTCTCTATTTCTCTATAAATGGTACATTTCACCTGTCCATTTCTAAATGTTCAGCTTTATGTTAACTTTATGCTTCAGAATATATATTGAAATAATTATTAAGTTTCAAAAGAAAACTTGGTCATTGGCTTTGTATTTATTCTGCACACTGCTTCCATACACTGCTGGGGGAGGACACATTGTTACAACCTCTTTACAGAGACATTTGGCAATATCTATGACAAAAGGAGATAAGGTGAGGCACCTGGGTGGCTCAGTCAGTTAAGCGTCTGACTCATGATTTCAGCTCAGATCATGATCTCATGGCTCATGATATCAAGCCCCATGTTCAGCTCTGTTGCAGTGCAGAGCCTGCTTGGGATCCTCTCTCTCCTTCTCTCTTTACCCCTCCCTCACTTTTGCACTCTTTCTCTCTCTCTCTCTCTCTCAAAATAAATAAACTTTTTTTTTTTAAAGAAAAAGTCATGAGGTCCTGTCAGTTGCTACACTCTTAAGTCTGTACTGCAGAGTCCTGGGCACAAGTGCAAGTATGCTCATAGCAGCATGCCTAAAAATATGACCAGTCCCAAGGTCACTTCATTAGAGAAATCTTAGAAAAACTATTTTCAGAGAGAAAATTTTCAATAAGAAATATATAAATATATTACTTACGTAATTAGAACTAAAAATACATAAAGCAGCTATGTGTTTTGTTTAGGGATGTATTCACATCCCTAGATAGTGGGTCTCTCTGGGGTAATGCATTCAGAGTAACACGGAGGCATCTACTTTCTGTAATGTTTTACTTCATAACTTTGGTTATATACATGTTTGCCTATTGTAGTATTTACTATAACTTTTTTAAAGTCTGAAATATAACATATTTTACATGAATAAATTCTAAGGGCTTTATTTCTAATTAGCAAGTAACCCATAATCCATTTAGAAATGTAGAAAGTACATCAAAATGCTAGTGTGAATATATTCATAACCTTCAACCCCACCATGCACTATAAAAACTGTTATCATGGTAATGCATTTTCTCTAGTTACCATCTACACCCAAACTTCATGGCTGAAAGCTATACCCATGTATTAGCTCATAAGCCTGTAGGTCAGAAGTCTAGCACAGCATGATCATGTTCTCTCCTCAGGAGTTCACAAGGCTGGAATCAAGGTGTCCATGTAGGTTGGATTGAGGTCTTTGGAGATTCTGGGGCAAATCTGCTTCCAAGATTATTCTTGTTCCTCGTGAGTATTGGACTACAGTCCCAATTTCCTTGATGGCTGTCAGCTAGGGGTGCTCTCAGATCCTAGAGGTGCTCTCCGATCCTACTCTAATTTCTTGCCACATGAATTCATCCATCTTTGACCCAGCAATAGTGAAGTTAATTTTTCTTGTGCCTTGAGTCTCTCACTTCCTCTTCTGTAAACAAAGAAAATTCCATGATTTTAAATAACTTGTTTGATTAGGTGAGGCCCACGTAGATACTATCCATTTTATCATATAACATAATTACAGAAGTGATATCTCTTCATATTCATTGGTTCCACCTACACTCAAAGGGGGAGAGAATTATCCAAGGATGAAGATCATTGGAGATTGTCTTAGAATTCTGCCTAGCACATGTAGTTTCAGACCAAAAACAAAACAAGACAAAACAAAAAAATCTCTCAACCTTCAACTAATGATATCCATGTTTAAACTGAATTTTCTGACCCAAATCTCAGGCCACTGTTATAGAGCATCATTGTGTTAGGGCTGAGGTCAGCACAAGGGGAGTGATTTATCCAACGTTCTATAGTCGGGGATGTGTCTTTGTCCTGATTCCAGTTTTCCATCTGGTATCCATGTTATTTTGTTGTGTACTGTCTCTTCTGCCTGAGGATCAATGGTAACTTCCTCCAGTATCAAACTAGATGACAAACTAAAGGGACAGGAAAGCATATGCTTTAACAGGAAATGGTGTAGTGATATTTTTCTCTCTCCCCAACTTCCACTGGAAACTCATTCCATAAACTCAGAACTGACATCAAAGCAAATACATTATGGGGACATATTTCAGCTCTTGCTACTACCTTTCCAGATGCTCTCTATGCCAATAATGTTCTTTGATTAGGCCAACATCATCTCCTCTCTGGGAGGAAGGAGGAAGGTGGGCCAAGAATAATATGTGTTGAAGTCCTACTACAGCTCATATGTATTTGACAGGTTTTCTCATTTGTTCCTCAAGACAGCATTGTGAGAAAGATATCATGGGTTCCACATCACAGATAACCAAGTTCAGACTCATAGAGTCTAAGTTACCTCTCCAGATAAGTAACAAGATTGGATGAGGTTCTATCCCTTGCCCTCCCACAATATAACCAACAGCTTCCCATTTAGAAAATATTAGATTTACACTTCCCCAGTATTGTGCCCTCATGTGTATGTACTCAACAACCTCTCTTGTTGAGGAAGCTGAGGGTGATTAAATTCTTCTCTTTAGGGTAAGAAGTATAGCTATGGGGTCACAAGGATTAGCTGGTCCCTGATGTCCCTCCCAGGGCCACTGATCCCACTCCATTGACATCAGGCTTGGCCATGTGACTGGATGTGGCCACTGAAATATAAGAGGAAATTGAATATGCCCCTTCCAAGAAGAAGTGTTAAGAACCACTGAAGGGCTCCACCAGTACTTTTTTTCCCTCTGCCTCAGAAATGCCACAGATTATTTACAAGTTTAGTTTAATTCACCTCATTTTCCAGTAACACTAGAATGTGAGAATTTAAATAACAGGAATGCTTGGGAATGGAAATTAAATAGCTTATACACAAATTTGGCCTCTGGATGACCAATTCAAATCTCATGCTCTAAAACTGAGTCAGTAGTCAAGAGAAAGTACACACCTTACCCAACATCATGCAGAAAACAGTCAGTTGGGGACAAACAGTTCCTTCCTTTTGCTCCATTGCATTCTTCAGAGGACCCATCATCATTCTTTGTGCTTCTCTGAGAATTTGTCTTTACTGAGTGACAAGATGAATGCAGATACCCAGTTAGCGGGCACCCCTGATGTTAACTCTCCAAAAGGACCCCGAAGAGGTCAGTAAAGGTACATTGATTTTATTAAAATGAGATAACAAGTTTTCCCCTGTCCCACCTCCACCAAACAATTTTACAACACAGAGGTGGCATTGACTCTTACACACAATGTGGGTCTGTGTGAATTTAATTTCCTTCATCACATTTTCAGAAGCTCTTTAGGGCACATTTATGCTGTTTAGGATTATGTAGTTTAGGTTAAAGTCATGTCAGAAGCAGAAGCTAAGAAGTGGGGTTGGAAAGGAAACTAACACTTCAATGTCCTGTTACTTGTTAGATATTGTGTTAGGAATGTTACATGCTGTTTCTCTAACTCCTTACAGCTGTTCTAAAGTTAGGTGTCATTATTCCTGTTATAGCTCATTCCTCCTCTAGCACATGCTCTACTAAGGGTCATAGGGGTTAAATACATTTTGCAAGGTCATATGCCTGGTAACAGGCAGCATGGTTATTCTAATCCAGGGTTGTTGGACTCCAAAGTTGGGTCCTACCATAAATCTATACATATAGGATGGGTAGTGACATTTACTTTACTCTAGGACAGGTTTTCTCAAACTCAGCACTCCTGACATTGTGGCTCTTTGTTATGAAAGTTATTCTATGCATTGTGGGGTGTTTAGCCACTACCCACAAGATTTTAGTAGTACTCCCAGTTGTGACTACCAAAAATGTCTCCAGACATTTCTACATGTCTCCTGATGTGGGAAGCAAAATCACCACCATTTGAAAACCACTGCTCTAGATATACATTTCTGACAGGCAGTTGAATACATAGGTCTGGAGTCTAGGAGAAAGTTCTCAGATGAATATATGTTTTGTGGGCTTCTGGCACCTGGCATGCAATAGATGTCCCATAAATATTTGTTAAATAAATGCAATTGGCTTATAGAATTTAGAGCCATCAATTCTTTTTCCATCTTTATATCAGTTCTACAAACTGAAGTAGAGTCATTCTTATAAACTTTATCAAAATCTGCATTTTCAACACAACTTATTAATGCTTAGGTTTTGCTTCCCTTCATAAAAGGAATGCATTTGTTTTTTGTTGTTGCTGTTTTTTTAAGTTTTATTTATGTTTTTAATATGAAATTTATTATCAAATTGGTTTCCATACAACACCCAGTGCTCATCCCAACAGGTGCCCTCCTCAATACCCATCACCCACCCACCCCTCTCTCCCACCCCCCATCAACCCTCAGTTTCTTCTCAGTTTTTAAGAGTCTCTTATGTTTTGAATCCCTCCATCTCTAACCTATTTTTTTTTCCTTCCCCTCCCCCATGGTCTTCTGTTAAGTTCCTCAGGATCCACATAAGAGTGAAAACGTATGGTATCTGTCTTTCTCTGTATGACTTATTTCACTTAGCATAACACTATCCATTTCCATCCACGTTGCTACAAAAGGCCATATTTCATTCTTTCTCATTGCCACGTGTATTCCACTGTGTATATAAACCACAATTTCTTTATCCATTCATCAGTTGATGGACATTTAGGCTGTTAAGGAATACATTTGAAATGGTAGAACATGTTGACACTGATTACACTACCACCAGGTATAGCCAGAACCAGAGTAGTTTCAACATCAAGATGGCTGAATAAAAAGAGTGAAGGTCCATTGTAGCTTGCATTTCTATGCCAGATACCATACTAAGTACTTCAATGACATTGACATATTTGATTTTCACAAGAGCCCTTTAAGGTTTTTATCATCATTTATGTACCAGAAATTCAAGGTACAGAGAGGATAAGAAAGCTGTCAAGTGTTACAAGGCTAGTAGGTAGCAGAGGCAGAACCCTACCCAGGACTGTGTGGTATCAAAGTCCACTGGTCCTCACCATGAAGGTATCCTACTATGTAACAACAAATATCTCTAGAGCCCACACAAAGCCTGGAACTCAGTGAACTTTTGTTTAACCGAATTATAGTGATTGAAAGAAGAATACTAGTGAGCCTGAAGCATGGCACTTAAAATTATTCCTTGGACTTACATGGAAATTTATTTCCCTTCTAGAAACTCAGTGTTTTTTTCTGGATGGAGATGGCTTCATTCTATGGCCAAAATACATCCAGTCTAGCTGGGTGGGAGAAAAGGCCTCTGACAGGAAAGACCACATAGAGTGAGGTCACTAATATAAGGTCATCCCAGAGTAATCAAATGCAGTCTGCCACCAGGACCCAAGAAGATCTGACTGGTACTGCAGGGTCCTGTCCAAAAGACACAGAAATAGCTTTTTTGTTTGCTTATTGTTTTTTTTTTTTAATGTTTATTTTTGAGAGAGAGGTAGAGAGCAAGCAGGTGGAGGGGCAGAGAGAGGAAGATAGAGTCCCAAGCAGACTCTGCACCATCAGCACAGAGCATGACACAGGGCTCAAACTCACAAACCAGGAGACCATGACCTAAGCCGAAACCAAGAGTTCAATGCTTAACCAACTGAGCCACCAGGCGCCCCCACAGAAATAACTTTTGATACTATGTAGTACCTCATCTTTCAAGTATTCAATGGACAAGTGCTCCTCTGAAGCTATCCACAGGGAAAAGGAAGGGAACATGACCACGTGGAACAAGAAAAAACAGGGTGATTATTTTCTTCCTTTTCCCCAGTTCCTCCAGGGGAATAAAGTAGAAAACAGTGGGTTTTCCAGGGTTCCCTCTCTTTGTCCCCTTTCCTACCCTTTTGCCCCCATGCTTTGAGATAATAGAGATATGTAAACAACAGTCAGGAATATGGGGTGCCCTGAGAAGGTCACAGAAAAATGGGAGGTGCCTGACAACCAGAATGCTAAATCAGGAAACACAAGCTCTCAGTCCCCATCTGTTTCCATTTGCCGGGTCATCACTCTACCACATAGCAATGAAGTGCACACATGACACAAATATCTATTTTCAAGAGAGGCTAAGAGGGGTGAGGAGACTAATCCTTGAGAGGTAAACATCACAGAGTTACTATTTTGAGTCTGGCATCGGGAACCCTGGAGATCTGTCTTTCTTGCTCCAGTGTCCTGTCTAACACAGTATTAGGCTTTGATCTTGCCCATTCAGGAGCTCAAAGGAAACACTCTTATTTAAAACAAGAGGGTAAGGTAAGGGACTAAGAAAACACTGGGATGGAGTGGGTGGTGACTTCATTTCCTTACCCTAAATTCCATGTATGGTGTACATGACTCAATTGAATGAAAATGTTGTAATTGTCTTATTCCCTTCCCCCAACCCCATCAGAGCACTCATTCTACCACATAGAAACGACATGGACTCACAGTCAAAATAGAAACATGCATTATTTTTCTTCTTTTCTCCATATTCTCCACATTATGCTGCCCCTCAAATATATTCACACCTGTAGTTCACAGTCTCCTGTCTCCTCCACTGCCAGTGGTGTAAATCTCTGCCAGATTCCTGATTATCAGCAGATCCACCCTCAGAAAATATGAGTCCCTCTTCCTTTTCCTTTCCAGTGTACCAATCAGCTTCTGTATTAACTGGCCTACTAAGGCTAGAAGGGAAAGTGGTTAAGGCCCCAAGTCAGAAAGTGACTGCACCATCCCCACTGGACCACAGGAAGACATTGGGTGCTTCCTGATGAGCATTGTTCTGAATCTGGTGAGACAATCCAGAAGAGCAGGGAGGTGGAAGAATCCACCTTTGGGAGAAGGCTGTTTCTGGGAAAGAAGTGGAAATCACAAGTTCTGTTCAGTCCAGCAGTTTGAGACATGGAAAGAGTTAGTCATAGAGTAAGGTGATTCATGGGGTAGATTGTTTTTTTTTTTTCTAAAAGAATTAATTTAAGGCCTTTAAGATCCTAAAAGAATTAATTTAAGGACTCCTGGAAAAGTGAGGGGAGTTGTCCTTATTGAGGGATGGGCAAAGGGCTTCTGAGAAATTACTCCCTGCTCCCTATGAATAGTTGGGGAAGAGGATGGAAAGAGGGTCCTTGGATGAAGTCTCTCCTGGAAGATCCTGGGGCAAGAGGAACCCCCACACACATCTGGCCAGCATAATCTGCCCAAATCGAGTGTAAGAATTTGTGGTAAAAGCCCATAATGAGATACACATGTGGTAAAAGCAGTGGCTGGACACTTTTTTTTAATACTTATTTGTTTTTGAGAGAGCATGAGCAGAGGAGGGATAGAGAGAAAGGGACAGAGGATCTGAAGCAGGCTCTACGTGGACATCAGCAAGCCTGATGTGGGGCTTGAACTCACAAACTGCCAGATCATGACCTGAGCTGAAGCTGAATGCTTAAACCAACTGAGCCACCCCAGTGGCTAGACACTTTTGATGAAAGCTGCAGTACTTCTCTTCCCTCCTGATGTGCTGGCAGAAAAGAATCACAACTCATTTCTCATTTCAAAATTAGGAACATTGGGGTGCCTGGATGGCTCAGTTGGTTAAGCATTTGATTTAGGCTCAGGTCATGATCTCACGGTTCCTGAGTTTGAGGCCCTCTCCCCCTTTGGTCTCTGTGCTGACAGCTCAGAGCCTGGATCCTGCTTCGGATTCTGTGTCTCCCCCTCTCACTGCCCCTCCCCCATTCACGCTCTGTCTCTCTCTCAAAAATAATAAATAAAAATCATCCAGTGAACAAATATCCTAGGAAAACTAACAGTATCTCCTCCACCCAAGACTTAACTGTAAGCCCAGACTCTGAGACTAGGCCTGAATGCTAGGGTAATAATGGAGGTTTCAGAGTGAACACTATAAGCAGGTAATGAGCTGCCACACTGCCAGGCCAACAGACATTGAACTCCTCTAGTTAGACTCTCTTTAAACCTCTGGCCCAAGTCACCCATCACTGTGAGTTTAGACTGAGTGAAAGGAGACAACAACCTGGAGGGCTTGTGGCTGTGGGGAGGCTCCTCTTCCAACACAAAATGATGAACTGTCTGATGTTGGCAAAGTGAAGAGAGCACTCTCTTTGAAAGACCCGTCCATCACAATGGGTGGTTGGTCAGATATGATTCCCTATCACTGTTTCATGTTGCAACTAATTCTCTCTTCTGCTCCTCATCACATTAGCATCACGCATGGTCTTTCATATTTGGAAACAACTTCGGACAACTTAATTCAAGGAGATGCAGCCTCTCTAAGATGAAAGATTCTCAAACTCAGTTGTTACCTCCAGCTCTCAGAAGAAAAGAACAAAGAACATGCTACAAGGGAGAAGATTATATATTTCATTACCGTCACCTTTTGGTATTCTGGCTTTGCTCATAGAACCATGAATCTCCATGCCATTTTACATAAGAGCAGAAAACATAAAGGTACAGCAAATTTCTTTGTCTCTGCCTCTGCATATTTTTGTCATGATCTTCCTAAAAGTTTCTCATTTTGTACAGGTTTTGTAAGTAACTTTTATAGTAAAAAGTAAGTAATAGAGCAAAGTTATTTATACTGTGTGACAAAGAGTGTGTTAAATGCTCTTCTTGCATCATCTAATCCTCACCACAAACCTATGAGGTAGGTACCACTTTTATGCCTACTTTACCAAAGAGTACATGGAGGCTGCAGGGGTTTGTTCACAACACCAGCTAATTTTAAGTGGCAAGGCTGGGACTCATACCCAGGCCATATAACCCCCAGACACAAATTGCAATCCTTAGGATATTCCCTAGTGGACAGAGAATGTGACAGTCTTCTTTAGTCCTGGGTGTACAACTTGGGGACATGGGATGATTTCTCTGGTTGCCTCTACTTTCCCTTAGCTTAACATGAACTCCTTTGGGGCTATAGCCTGGTGCAGTCAACACAACCAAGCCTCTTAGCATTTCATAAGTAGCCTCATGACACTTACAGATAAGACTATACTCAATGGTAAAAGACTGAATGCTGTCTGTCTCTCTAAGATAGGGAGCAAGACAATGTCTGCTCTCTTAACTCTTATTCAACATAGTGTTGGAAGGTCTAGCCATTGCAGGAAGGCAAGAACATGAAATGAAAGGCATACAAATTGGAAAAGAAGAAATAGAGGAAGAAAGAAAACTGTCCCTATTTGCAGATGAGATGATTGCCTATGTAGAAAATCCCCAAAACCTACATTTTGTTATCTTTTAAATAACTCCCACAGGAACTTGCAAAAGAATGTGCCCCAAAGAACATCTTATAAAACTAATAAAATAAAACATCATCTGCTAACATGTAAAGGATTCCTCTGCTGTATATGTTTCTCCAATAGATATTCAAGTTTGTCTTAAGAGGAAAATAAATCTGGGTTCCTGGGTGACACAGTCAGTTAAGCGTCTGAGGTTAAGCATCTGAGTCTTGATTTCCGCTCAGGTCATGATCTCAGGTTCTCGTGAGGTCGAGCCCTGCATTGAACGTGGGATTCTCATTCTCTCCCTCTCTCTCTCTCTTCCTCCACCTGAATATAAATAAGTACATTTAAAAAAAAAGTTTAAATAAATAAAGAGGAAAATAAATCCAGTCATTATTTTTAAAACAAGTTAGGAGACATTATTTACCACATAATACCTATTCATTTTGAAAATGTGTATGGATCAAAAACATTGAAGGGAATCCGCTTGTCTTTTTTCTTTCTCATAAAATATGCATTCATACAGCAAATGCCTATCTTCTCCCATTACTGAGAGGTGTGTTAATTTTCTACTGGATAGCTTTTCTCTGTGTTTTTACTTCTTCTTCAGAGTTTCTGCTCCCTCCTAATTTCAACTTTTTCATAAAAGATGGATTTACTATGATGACCTCTCAAGTCCTTAATATCAGAGACTACATTTTTTTTTCCTTCGCTTCTTTCCTTTTTGGTTTCCAACATCAATTGCCTGATTTTGTCTATTATGCTCAGTTTTATTTAGTTTGAGAGAAAATATTTCCTTTTAGCAGAAACAATGGGTTTGGGATTTGCCACTACTAAAATATCTAGAAAAAACACATATTTTTTAAATTATATTTCAGAACATAGGTAAATGTCTCCAGTTGTTCCAATGAAAATTTTAATGGATTTATTACTTGTTTTGTTAAGAGGCTGAGAGCACTGATTCTAGAGCCCAAGAGTTTTGGCTATCTCCAAGTTTTGCAACTTACTAAATGTACAATCAGGGAATTTGCTTCATCTCCATGTGCCTTAATTCCCTCCTATATAAAGTGGGGACATTAGTGGTGTAGCCCTCACAGGTTCTTTGGGGGAATAAAGTGATTAGCACCTATAAACAGCTTAGAACACTCTGGAATATGGTGCACACTAAAAGTATGTCATAAGTATTGTTATTATTACCATTATTTTCTGCATATTCTGCATTAACATGATGACATATATATTCAGAATTGTTTTAGTGGCAATAAGATGGAAGTGTAAAAAAATTTAAAATAACAGACATCGAAGTAAATAACAAAAAAATCGTTTTAAATCACACAATCATTTTCAAAATCTATCAGTGATGAATTCTTTTATGTCTTTTCTATTTGTATATGCACATTCCCATATATATTTATACACCTTTACTTACTTGATCAGATTACAACATCTGTAACATACACCGTTCTGCTCCTGACCAGGATAGAGTAACAGAGACTAGAATTACCTTCCAATCTGAAATAACTAAAAAGCTGAATAAAAATCTATGAACCAACTATTCTGAAGTCAGTGGACACTGAGCAACAAGATCTATGATCCCTGAGAGACTGGGAAGAAATAAGGTTATTCTTATGATTGCTCCAGCCTACTTCCTAGAGAAAGTTTTCAGGCCACAGTGCAAGGAGTGAGAATCCAGGGAGAGCCCAGGGGTATTCCATAGATTAGGAGAAGAAATTAGGACCTAGGGAGGCCAAGGCAGCTAGAGTTTTCAGGTAAGAGTACCAAAAAAAAAAAAGAGCTCACAGAGAAAGAATTTTGATGACTTGAAGAGGGTCCTCTTTGAATAATTATCTGAATAGTCTATGGCCATACCACCCAGAGCACACCTGATCTCATATGAATAATTATCTGAGTACTGAGTACTGATCATTAAATGCTTGTGAGGAAACTACCCCAAACCAAGAAAAGAACACCACAAAAGGATTAAAGGGAACAATTTAAGTTTACACATGTTTAGGAATAATAGCTAGAGTTGAAGACCTCATAATTCATGGGATATCAGAAAGAGTACTCAGGAGGATTTTTCCTCATTAGTGGAGTACAATTAACCCTAAAATACACACTACTATGGTCCAGCCTTACAAAGATTAAAATCAAGAACCTAAAATATCAAACTGTTTACATGTAACTTAACTGTGTCCCAGAATAAAAACCAATATATTTACAGGGATCCCAAAATATCTAGCACTCAAAAGTTAAAATTACAATGTGTGGCATCCAAACAACAATTATGAGGCCTGCAAAGAAGCAGGAAAATCTAACCCACCATGAGGAGAAAAATTAATCAAAACTGACCAAGATATGAAAAAGATGGTAGAATTAGAGAAGGACATTAAAACAAACAGTATAACTGCGTTGCATACATTCAAGAAGCTGAAGGAAAGACTGAACATGTTTAGTAGAGACATGGAATATAAAAAATTTGAGATACTCAAATTGAACACCTAGAGATAACAATTACAATGTCTGAAATGAAATACATGTTAGACAGGGTTAATGGCATATTAGACATTACAGAAGAAAAGAGTAGTGAACATGAAGACATAGCAATAGAAATAATTCAAAATGAAATACACAGGGGAAAAAAGACTGAAAAAATGAAGAGAGGATTACCAAGTTGTTGGACAACAATATTAATGATTACTTTAAATGGAAATGGTCTAAGCCCTCTAATCACATGACAGAAATCATCAGAATAGATAAAAATCAAGACTCAGCCCCTAATATCTGAATATTATGGAGAAAATAGGGCTGGCTGCACACAAAACCACAAACAAACACTGGAAAAAAGGCCTCTTTGCTAAAAATATAAACATAACATAGTCCAAGAATCACCAAAATAGTACCTACATAAACTAGTGCTCTAAATCAGGTAGAAGGTCTTCACGCAAACCTCTGTAGTAGACAAACTGGAACACTGGCACATTTAGGTGTCCGTAGAAATCTGTAGTGATGTGGCAGGTGGGGCGGGGGGGTTGGTTCACCACAGTAGAGGAATGAAGTTGGCTTGTGGCATAGTTTGTATGCTACTTCCAACAACTGAGGGGAATCTGAAGGCCTTTTATCCTGCATGTGCTGATGAACATAAACAATTAAAACACAGCTTACGTGTTCTTTACCTCTTTTAGTTCTCACAGCAGCCCTGGAAATTATCTCCATTTTACCAATGAATAGAGTAAAATGAACTGAGGCATTGTCATGATAATAGCTACTAAGTTTATATTACTAGCTAAATAATTCCAAAGTAATTTGAAATTTATTGTTTGTTTTTTCAACAAGTTTTCATAAAGTTCTTCACTGTCTTTGACACATTTAGTTTGTTTCCTCTTTTAAAAATCAAACTTTAATATAAAAGGAAATTAAGTAATACTTATGAAATTAGGAGAAATACATAAACAATCTAAAATTAATTTATACTCATGTGAGCTCAGTAAAAGAAACAGGGTGTTGAAAATAAGATTAAAATTTTTCTTAAGGGGGAGCCTGGGTGGCCCAGCCAGTTGAGCATCTGACTCTTGATTTTGGCTCAGGTCATGATCTCACAGTTGTGAGATTAACCCCTGCGTGGGGGCTCCACACTGGGCATGGAGACTGCTTGAGAATCTCTCTCCCTTTGCCTCTGCTTCTCCCCCACTCATACTCCTTCCCTCTAAATTTTTTTCTTAATACATTTTTTCTTCTGTTCCAAAGCAACAACAAATGCCACTTTAGCATGCATAATTTACAATTAAACACAATAACGTTCTTTTCATTTGTGCGAAAATGATTATTTTTATTGTCATATATGTGAGGATTTCTCTCTTCATATGAAATTCACTAAATAAAAAATATTTTCTGTCAGCTTCTAAGAGTAAATCTCTAAACAGGAAATAATTGAATTGATAGGGATGCCTATACATATTTGCTTATGTAGATTTATATCACTTAGAAAGCATTACAACTGATCACACATGAGATAGCAACTACATTACATGCAATCTGCTTGAAAATTTTAAAATGGAGTATTTCTAATCAAAATCAGCATGTTTATTACATGATATATGTGATGTCAGGAAAGGTGACAGAAAACAGACATGGTATTTTGTCCATTTCATTCATGCAATCTAGTCCTTTTTCTACTTATGAGACTTTTAAGTTTCATAAACAAATAATTCTGTTCAGTTTTATTAAATGTATTCACTTAATGGTCCCAATCTGCCAACTGAGAATTGACCTTAGAAAACATGAAGACTTATTTTCACAGTTTTAAAAAACAGAAGCTAATGGAAAGTTGTTCAAATGTGATCCAATTTGTTTTGATGAGAGAAGATTAAAAAAATAAATATAACAAACTAAATGTGTTTCATTGGAGGGTTTTGAAAAAGGAAGTATTCCTCCTAAGAAGCTGAGCCTGGCTTTATCATGACTAAATATAATAGTAAAAAAAACAAAAAAAACAAAAAAAACAAGTATTTTCTTTGGACAATTAACTTATGGTTTTGTTTATATTCTTCCTTATATTTTCTACATAACCCAAATATGTGTAATAACCTTGTATTACAAAAATAATTATGGAAGTATTACACTTTTAAATGTTCCACACAGAAACTTTTAAAACGTGAGGGTGTAAAGGAATAAACCACCCACAAGGGCGCCGCCTGGGTGGCTCAGTTGGTTAGGCATCCAACTTTGGCTCAGGTCAGGATCTACCGGTTTGTGAGTTCAGCCCACGTCCAGCTCTGTGCTAACAGCTCAGAGCCTGGAGCCTGCTTCAGATTCTGTGTCTCCTCCTCTCTTCGCCCCTCCCATGCTCATGCTCTGTCTCTGTCTCTCAATAATAAATAAATGGTAAAAAGATAAATAAATAAATAAGTAAATCACCCACAAAGACCCACTAATTGTTGCTACATATTATTTTAGGTAAATTACAGTTGTTAAGAAATTTAATATTAATAATTAACAAAAGTATAAATGATTATGTTATTGAATATTTACTGTACCAGGTACTGTACTAGAAACTGAGCTCCAGGGTGATTAAAACAAAATCATTGGTGTAAAAGGGTACAGGCTTGCATAGAAATGATAATGCCTAACTTATTTAATTAATAATTATTACATAATTATTAATAATAGATTCATGATAATGCATTAGCTTTATAAGATATTTGGAAAGATAAAAAGCAGTATTGGTTTATAAATATATATTGAT